TACGGCAAGGTAAGAAGGGAACTTCTCTAGAAGCGATTGCAGTCATCCAGACAAGAGATGAGCTCTTGCAGACTTGGCTCACTTGCAGTGGAGGTAGTAAGCAGGCAGGTTTGGGATACATTTTGAAGGGACAGACAATAAATTTTCCTAAAGGAATAGATGTGGGGTATGAGAGAAAGGAAAGCACTAAGAATCTTGCCAAGATTTTTAATCTTGGCTACAAGGATAGGAAAGGCTGTCAGATATAGATGTGAGGGGGAAAATCAGTTCAGATTTGGATACATTGAGTTTGAGGTGTCTGTTAGATGTCTATAGCATCTCAGATCCCTTTGGTCTCCTTGCCTGTGGAGCCTTTGGCCTTTTTCTGTCCCCACTGCCATGGCCAACATACTTCAGGCCGTAACCACCTGACAGTGCTTTGTTTCACGTTCGGGCCCATACAAAATGGAAGTATCTGTGTTTTGGGGAGGACGGTAGCATTATCATTGCGTTGACAGACTCTTGACCAACTCCCCTGACACACTTTTTTTCCCTACTCTTTTCCCAGGAATTCTATTCCCAAATAAAATAATAGCACAGAGCTTATGCCTCAGGTCTGCTTTCTGGGGGTACCCAGGCTAAGTCAACAACCAAGTGGAAGTGTGAGTAAGTACTTGTTTCGGTGAGCCTGGAGTTTGGGGGAGTGATTTGGAGGGAAGGTATGATTTTGAAAGTTGTAGCATAGACCTAGTATTTGCAACCATGAGACTGGCAGGGAGCACAAAGGAGTGGACAAAAAGAAATGTCCAAAAGACGAGAGGATGAAAATTTTAGTACCTTTGAGACAGAAGCAATGTTTTGTTCAGTACTATAGCCCCAGTTTCTAAACATGACACAAAGCAGGTATTTAACAGATACTTTTAGAATAAATGCAATGGATCACCATGGCCTTGGAGTTACGTAGGAAAGCAAATTAAGTCATGAGAGGTGTTGAATTAGAATAGGCAGGGTTCGTTGAACTTGAGTTTGTAGTGAAAGTGAAAATTAGGTTCAACAGTATAAATAATAGAGAAAAATAACAGGAAAAGGAAGCCGTGGTTAGAGAAAAGCTCTCAGATATAACTTTCTCCTTGAAGACTTTTATTATCATCTCATGAGACCTTCCCCTTTTCTGGATCTCTGTCTTATCTATATTACATTAAGTCAAGTTATATCTATGTGCTCTTCTCTACTTTCCCCAATATAGATACTTTCCAGGGGTGCAACTGAGTCGAAAATAAGGGTAGCTCCTAAGTCCCAGAGACAGAAAATGGATGCTGAAAGTTTGACATTCCTAGTTCATTTTTTATGGTTCGTGGAGATGGTAGGGAAGAACAGATTAAATTGCGAGACTCGATTTCAAATCTGGAGTGGATCCGAAGGTTTAGTAAAATAACTTGCGCTTGGATGAATTGGAGGACTGAATGTACACAGTTAGGTGAGTACAGAGGCCAAGAGGGCAGAACTCAAGAATACACGGTTTGAGGCCTGTGGGTCCGAAGGCAGGGCACAGGCGAGGAAGGGAAGTGGGCCTTCAGTCAGAAGGCACCTACGAAGTTAGCAAAGTACGATATGAAGAGAGAGAGCCTACATGAAGGTCAGTGTGACCAGACAGGAAGAATATGCGGAAATTTCTACAAATTATAAAAAATGACCATTTTGCTGGGTGATAAAAATAGGCCGTGAGGCAATAATTCCAAGAATTTGGCCTTAGGTACAGGGTAAGAAGAGCTCAATTTTGAAAATGTATTTGACACAAGGCTGAGATCTGCAAGGAAAAGCTACTAATAGGCAACATTTTAATCAATGCTTGCTACCTGCCAAACATTGCTCCAAGTGCATGTTCCCGTCAATGGTCTCATTTAATTATGACAACACTAGGATGATGTACGTGTTATGATCGTCTTTATTTTACAGATGGGAAAACTGAGGCACAAGAATGAACAATTAATTGCCCAATGTCACATAGCTAGTAAGTGGCTGAGCAAGGATCTGAACACCAAAATATTAAAAAAAAAACTTTGCCCAGGACCACTCATATTCATTCTTTATTCAATAAGTATTTAACAAGCACCGCTACATTCTAGAAATGGCGCTGGTGCTAGGAGTGGGAAGGAAGGGAAAAAGCCGGTGGTAAACAAGACAGATATAATGCCTACCTTACATGGACATTAAACAAATAAGTATGTATGGTGAGTCAGAAAAAGAAAGTGAGAAGTTACTGTTTGGTAGGAGGAGTGGGTAGTAAAAAGAATTCCAGAGGGTAGGGAAAAACAACCGTATACCTTGAAATGAGAGCCTACAGTAGGGGAAAAAAAGAGAGAGAGAGAGAGAGAGAGAGAGAGAGAGAGAGAGAGAGAGAACAGCCTAGAAAAAAATGAAAAGAATAATATGGCTGGAGTGCTGAGAGCTAGGGAGACAGCTGGGGGAGCTGGGGAGAATGAGAAGCCCAGATGGTGGAGGGTCTGGTGTTCATGATAAGGAGCTTAGACTGTGTTCAGTAAGCAAAGGGAAACTATTAAAGGAATTCAAGCAGAGTAGTGACTAGATCAGATTTATATTTTTAAAAATATTACTGTGGCTACACAGTATGGCAAATGGATTGGAATACCCCAAAAACAGTTCTGTAGGACCTAGATGGTAGTTATTGCAGGAACTTCAAAGAATGAAGATTGTCTATACTAGAGAATGAAAAGTGGCTACAGGAAAGGAGAGAGGCCACAAATCCAATTTTCTAAGGCAGACAAGTTTAGGGGGTTCTGATGTGTGTCAGAAGTATCTTAAGTTTCTGGCTTGAACTGAGTAGATGCCCTTTACTAATCCAAGGGCTTTGGGAAGAGGATTTTGGAGGGAATATGATATACAGGTTGAGTTTGACATGGCGCAGTCATCCAAACGGAAGTGTAGCAAGGTCAGTTAGGAATATGAATCCAGAGTCCAAGAGCAAGATCTAGGTTTGAGTTATGGGCTGGACAGTCTTTGGCAGAGGGAACCTGAAGCTACTGGATGTGGATGAGACCACCAACAAAGTACACATTAGGGCTCAGCTCAGCAGGATTCCAATATCTGGATAACGGAGAAGCTGGTTGTCAAAGAACAATCAGAAAAATAAGAAAACTTTGCTATAAGAGCAGAAGGAAGAGCATATTTAAAGTTTTTTTTTTTCAACTTTTATTTATTTTTTTGGGGACAGAGAGAGACAGAGCATGAATGGGGGAGGGGCAGAGAGAGAGGGAGACACAGAATCGGAAACAGGCTCCAGGCTCTGAGCCATCAGCCCAGAGCCTGACGCGGGGCTCGAACTCACGGAGCGCGAGATCGTGACCTGGCTGAAGTCGGACGCTTAACCGACTGCGCCACCCAGGCGCCCCAGGAAGAGCATATTTAAATGAGGGGTGTGGTCAGTAGTGTCAAAAACTAGAATGAGGTCTTGTAAGATGAGGACGGAAGCTTGCGTGTGACAATTCAGAGCTGCTTCAGGTGAGTGGTAGGAACAGAACCCAGACTGGAAAGGGCTGAGGAATGGAACACGTGAGAATGTCCCCTGGGGAAGAGACAGCTGCAGTCATAGCTGGAGAAAGATTGAAGGAGAGAAACATTTTAAATGAGAGTTAAGCATGTTCAAATGACAGACAGAAAAGCCAGCAGTGAAAGAAGGGTTGAAAATAACAGAAGGAAAGGGGACCCCTCTTCAGCCCAAAGTCCCCGAGAAAGCAGAAGGGGATCTAGAGCACTGGGAAGAGCAACTCTTCTTTGTAACAGGAAGCCAGTAAGGGGTGGGGCTCAGATTTGAACCCTCTCGTTCAGCTTCTGAAAGATAGAGGACAGAAGGAGAATTATAATAGACATGAGCCCTAGGAGAGGATCGCAGAGTTCAGTAAAAAGAGTCAGAAGCGTGGCCTTGAGCGACCTCTGAGATAGCAGTTTCGGTAGTCGAGGGAACGTTAGTCACACTGTCGGGTTTAGAGTGGGAGTGGGGTGGTGAAGAAAAGGGCACAATGGGTGTAAACCACTGAGGTGGAAAACGGCTGTGAAAAGACAGCGACCAGTAAGGTTCCACCCCCCCCCCCAAAAAAAGCGGGGAGGTGGGGGAAGGGAGGTCATATTTCGGAGTGTCCAAGAGCAACCTCGATCTGGACAGGTGATTGCTCGGAGGCCCCCGAGGACCGAACAGCTCATTCCCGGGCCTGGCTGCCCGGTTGCACCCAGCGAGGTGCCACAAGTCCCTGGAGCTCCAGCTACTACCCCCTTCCCCCACCCCCACCCCCCCGCCCCCCGCTACCCCCCAGAGACCGAAGAGCAGGGCGGGCGGCCTCTAGGTTTCTCCGCTCACTCACGCAGAGAAGAGGCCGCCGGCCGGGCAAACCCCTCCCACCGGGCTACCACAACGCCGGGGCAGCGCAGCGACCCCGGGTCCCAGCACCCGGCCCGGCCCCCGGGCACCAGATTTGGCGGCGTTTGCAGAGCCTCCGCCGCCCTTCCTCCCGGCTCGCCCTACTCCGGCACCGAGCCGCGTTCCAGACCCCTCGGCGCGTCGGCCACGTCCCCGCAGCGTTCGAAAGTTCCCGGGGTCGACGGCGTTTAGGGACTAGGGGCTAGGGTCCAGGGCCCAGGCCGGCCCGCCGCAGCCGCCTTAGAGCCCGCCGCTTACCGCCGCAGGGGCTGGCCCGCGCGGGGGTTTCCACCCAGCCGTCGACACCCCTAGGGAATTCCCCACAGGGCCACATTCACACACACCTTCCTCCGGCAAATTTCCGCCGCCGGGTTTTTATCCGCCAAAACGGCGCGGCGGGACTCAGACCACTCCTCCCTCCCGCCCGTCCCTTCCCACCTTCGCCGCCTCCCCCCACTCCCCGCGGAACGCCTTCGCCTTGGCCGAAGGAGCCCGAAGGCCTTCGGCGAGTTCCGCCTCCAGCGCGGGGGGCGGGGCCGCTCGAGCTCCTCCGGGCCGAGCTCGGCTGTTTCCGTGCGCGGCCGCTGCGCACTCGGCACTGGGCGGCGCTGGCTGGCTCCCTGGCTGCGGCTCCTCAGTCGGCGGCGGCTGCTGCTGCCTGTGGCCCGGGCGGCTGGGAGAAGCGGAGTGTTGGTGAGTGACGCGGCGGAGGTGTAGTTTGACGCGGTGTGTTACGTGGGGGAGAGAATAAAACTCCAGCGAGATCCGGGCCGCGAACGAAAGCAGTGACGGAGGAGCTTGTACCACCGGTAAGAGGAGCAGGAGGAGGAGGCAGGAGCCGGAGAGAGCCGGGGGGACGGAGGGGGGACGGGGAGGCGCCGGACACCCGCGCTCGGGGCCTTCCCCTCGCAGGAGGGGCCGCGGTAAAGATGGAGCCTCCGCCCGAGCCCCACAACATCGCCGCCGCTCGCAGCGAACAAAGAATAATGGCGGCGGACTGGAGCCAGCGGCGGCCGGGGCGGCAGCGACTCTGCCTGTGCTGCCT